AAGCCCAGGAGTGCGTGCCCTCTCGTGTGTGATCAGAAGGGACAGTGTCACGCCAAGCTCAGTCAGTGATGAGCCATTAGACGAAGTGAAAGTCAGTGCCAGTACGCTTCGTCGACGTCAAAGGACTCCATATCAGCATGTGAGTGAGTTTGAACGGAGCGGAATGATCAATCTCCGTGAAACGGGTTTGTCATACCGTGACATTTCGGCTCGTACAGGATATGCTGCTACGACAGTGATGCGAGTGTGGAACCAGTGGATAGACGAGAGTAGTAGGCAGCGACGAGTGGGTACTGGACTACGCAATGTGACCTCAGCACGGGGCTTGACCGCCATCTTGTCCGCATGGTCGTAACGGACCGTACAGCCTCGTACACAGTGTTAGCTCGACACTAGAGCTCTGCAACCTGTCTGGGTCGACGATTCGACGCCGTTTCCTTCGGGCTGGACTGGTGGCATATATGTCATTGCGTCGGCTTCCATTGTCCAGCAACCACAAACGCCTCAAACTAAAATGGCCACGCGAACGCCGTCGCTGGTGTGCTGAGTGGCAAGATGTAGTGTTTTCGGACGAGTCCCGCTTCAACCTGTCCTACAGTGATGGCTGCATACGTGTTAGACGCTACCGTAGTACCCGCAATCTGGTAGCCTGCATTGTGGAGCGGCACAATCGACAAACACAAAGTGTGATAATGTGGGGCGCCATTGGATACATGTGATCTGACTCCTGCGTATTGAGGGCAATCTGAACAGCAACCGCTACATCAATGAGGTTTTAGAGCCCTAGGTACTGCCCTTTCTTCGCACAATTCCACGTGCCATATTTCAGCAGGACAATTCCCGGCCACATGGGGCGGAGAATGTGCAAGCCTTCAATGAATGATGGGTACCACTGCACTGGTTGGTCAGTGACTTGTTCATCACGGTCCTCCAGCAACCACTGTTGATGCTATGTGGATTCGCATACAAACCGCGTGGAGGGAGATTCCCCAGGAACATATCCAAGTCCTCAAATATTTCCACGCCACTACGTTTAGGGGCTCTGAATGCAGCACATGGGGGCTTCACACCATACTGGATTCTCAAGAACAGAGATCATGTACATGTCTGTAATCATTATCAATTGTGCATGATCATGTACCTAATCTGTGGTATAAAGTTTATTTCAGTCACATGTATTCTTCTTGGTGTTGCATTTTCACGAACGCGAATTTATATATAAGGCGGGGTAGTGAAATTTCTCAAAGGTTGGTTTAAATTAACCGTGAACAGCGTATACGTTTGTGTGTTCATGATTCAAATAAAATACTTCATTATTATTCATTTAATGATTCTTTTTTATTTATAATGTCGAGTTTCGTGCAAAAAATTGTATGAAGGCTCTCTAAGCTAATTTTCAATAACAAAATTATAAACAACATTACTTTTTAGAAACTCTTTTAAGTCGTTAACTTGTCCGTTAATGTTAACTCGTCCAGTTGCAGTAGCAGAAAAGGTATCCATCTGTGGCTATCAAAAAAATTTTACATCAAGGTAAATTGTTCAGAAAGTGCTGAAAGCAAAATATAAAATAGTACACATTAGGTGACGGATCTATGGTCTTGTGGGGGAGGGGGGAGGAGGGGGGGGCTATAGGGGCCTGAGTCCCTGTCTTGGAGCTTGATTTTTCACTGGATAAAATGAGAGTGTTCTTGAAACCACAGGCTTGTTAATACACACACTTAATTTCGTAACAGGGAATTTTAAAACATATTTAGATATTATAACCCCTTATTACTATTTATATGCTGTTCACGGTAAAGTGAGCACTTTTGAGTTCCTAGTTACTTTTTCCTTTCAGTTATTTTTTATCCTTCAAACACCTCTTTAAATAAATATGGACATGCAAGTAATAAACACAGTGTGTATATTCTGAAGTTAACGTCCAAGGCTAGAATAAAATTATATTTATGGATTATTATTCCAAATTAGCTGGTTTTCAAAAGTGCTCGCTTTGTCGTGAATAGCATATACTGACGTTTAATTTTTAGCATTAAAACTTAATACTTACTGTTAAGCATGTGGTTTGAAAGTAAAGCACTATGCCCCATACTTCAAGTATGTAGACACCTCTTAATTGGTCTCTAGATGCACCACTGTACACATTCCCAAAATAGTTTACGTTCATTCTTACTTCGTCGCACAACAGTCAGCATTTATCATTTAAAAATAAACGGGATTAGGTATTAATATCGACTATGAAAAAATGTTGAACTTCCTAAAACGTTAAATTTGTAAATAGAACGAAAGCATCAATGTGAATTTACCGGTGGGTGCACGCCACCCAGCATAAACAACACTAATTCAAATCTATTTTCACTGAGCATGAGCGACCTTAAAAAAAATGATACTGTGAACGAGCATTTGTTTGCCCCCTGGACATTCTGAATAGTCATGTGAAGGAGATGTCTGTGTCGTGATAGTTAAGTATTTTCGTATGCGTACGTAAAGCAGTATTTTAACCAACTGGGTGAGGAAATACGGAAGTAAAACCAGTCGGGTGAACTTGGCCTGAGTGTATCGAGCCGGGATTGAACTCGCAACCTAACTGGAGGCGAGTCGAGTCAGATGTGTCACCGCATGACCAGACACACTGGGTCCTGGTGGTGTAACACTGAGCTTCAAACGTGCACCGTTTATTGAGTGAACAACTACGTCACATATGTACATACATATGTCGTTTAGTTCGAAACCGACCTTTCAAGTGCTTTTACTAAGATACTAGAAATGACTTTATAACACAAGAAGTGATGGCGTTCAGATTTCAAAAGAAGTATTTCATCTACCGGAACTTTAAGACTGTACCGTAAGTAAAGATATAGAAAAAATTTAATTCGTCCAATTCATTGTGACTAGTTTTGTGCGAGTAGAAAATACATAATTTGCTACTGTAATATTGGCAGTATCGTTGAGCATAACTTCATGTTAACACTACTGCTCGGTTGCGCTAACATCTTCCCCGATCCGAGAACGAATGATCCCAGTTCCGAACCAGGATCCAATTTGATCTTGGTTCCAATGTAAAAGTGTTGCACCAAGGAAATTTCATGATTCTGGATATTCGATTCTTCGATCTCGGTTTCAAAGTGAGAGATCGAGATTAAGTATGAGACAGATTTTGCTATTGGTTCGGAATATATGACATAGTTGAAGTAGGCGTATTTTTCAGTATAGATAGAAGTAGATGTGCGATGTTTTATCCGTTTTAAATGAATTATTTTTGTACCTATATTACTGAATAATATTCAAGTGCGTATAATGTTTTTTAATTTTCCAAGAAAACAATCGACCGTAGTTCTACTTGTTGGCGTATTTTCAAACTACATTTGTAGACGATAGCTGCTGATCTCGGATCGAGATTTCGAACCGACAATTACGGCGGTTCGAAATTAACTTCATCTCGACCTCCAGTCCAGATCTGAACTCGAATGGTGCAACAGTTTTCTGTGTCGATCTTATATCCGATCTCGGATCGAGTTTCGAACCACGATTGTGAAACTGGACATTAGGGGAGCACAGACTGTCTACCTGCCACGAAGACATATTAAGGAGGATAATTGAATCAATAAACCATACTAAACAGAAGGTCGCTCCTTCCTGTTCAGAAATATTTTATTTGCCACTATCAGTCAAATATTTTTTTCAGTTGTGTATAAAGCACGTGGTTAGGGTAACTCTAAAAATAAAATATGGCCTATGACAATTAGTACTGATAAACGGAAATAACTTGTAATATGACGGAAGCCTCAATACTGACTTGGCCAGCTATCGCTGTTCTCCAGCATTCCAGTCGAGAAGTGCGAGGTTAACACCACTTCTTCAACCCAAGAGTCCCAGGTGTGTGAAAAGACTAGGGTTACTCTACGCTCGGGATCAATAAAGGGAGGACATTCACTCTGAAAAAGGCAGGCTTTTCATTGTGAGAAGGACAACGCAATTTCTTCAACGCCGCAAATGATTTCTGCTGCAAAAACATTACTTTTGTTTCGCATGCAGTTTAATATGAATAATGTTGAAAAAATACTATATTCAATGATTAGTACTGAAGGAAACAATTTTCAAAAGTTTGATTAAAACTTAAAGTAATGTTCTCGTTATCAGTTATAAAATATGGCGTGTAAATACCAGGAAAATAAACGTACGCGTTTACAGTTATTTGACATTCACAAACACTGCAGTATGAAAAATTTATATAAATAAAAAAATTTAAACCAAAGAAAAATAAATCGTTAACATAATGTACATGGTTTGTCAAAGAACTCCCAGGCATATTTATATTATTAACTAAATTATTAGTGAAAAAACAGCTATAAGACATTTTGTTCAACAAAAACACAATAAATAGTAGACAAGTACTCTCTTCTATCATGTCAGAAAAGATGGACATATTTAATTAAAGACTGTTCACGATAAAGTGAACACTTTTGAAATCAACCTTGGAATAAAGTCACTGCTCCTACCTGCACATATCTTAATGAACGCACTGAGTGAATGCACCCAGTGAAGTTGGTAACAATGTTCCATATATTAACGTCGAATAAAAAGTGTTGGGTAACCATTTGTGATAACTTAAATGATTTCTATAGCTTTCTGTTTTTTTTTTTAATGCGTCGAAGTTTAAAACTAGCAGATTTTTAACATGCTTTAATTTGCTAATAATTTTACAGTGCCACTTGACCGACGCTTGAAGAAAGCGATGAGGCCCATGGCAAATGTTAGTTTCAAAAAAGGTGGAAGAAGACACATTGTGCATACAAATAGATACTAAATAGGGCTTTCAAAAGTGCTAATATTACCGTGAACAACCTATACCACGAATAATCCGGCAAGTCAGACAGCGCATGTGGCGAGCTCATTTGTGGACCGACGAGGTCCGAGTTATCTCCACATGCGGAGAAAGCGCAACTAAATGTCGCCACGCTACTGGATTACCAACTGAAAAAAAGCAGAGGTAACTAACAGGAGGCGTAGCTAAGGTGGTAGAGCTCTCGCTTAGCATAAGAGAGATGTCGGGATCGGCACCCGACGCCTCCAAATTTAGTCGCTCACTTTCTCACAAAGTTGCGAATAGGTTCTTGCTTAATTTTTATGGTATCAGTATCCTGAAAATTTTCACTTCGATATGTGATCAATTACAGCTGTTTGCAGTAAAAATTCAAATCTGTACTTAAATGTGAACAAGAAGAAAGGCGAGGCGAAAAAGCTAGAGGTGTTTTAGTAACAGCTTGAATCGCGCACCTGAAATACTGTGTTTTAGTCAAGTTTAAAATTATACCCAGGAACTGATATTTTTGTGGGTTTATTCGGTTTGTTGAGATGCATTTGTGCAGTTATTCAGTTGTGATCGGTTATATTCTGTAAATCAAAACATCAGTACACTTACTGAAGTTCTACATATTGTCCACGTTTCAAACACTATATTCTATCATCATTTTACGCATGATTTTTTTTTTGTCATATAAACTCAAGCTTCGAGCAAATAGTCACTGTATCAAGGTTTTCAGTGCATATTTTTACATCACAAAATTGCAAACATTGTTATTTTTTTTTAGATATACTTAAAAGTCATTTACTTGCCGGTTAGTACAAAAGCTCGTCAAAATTCAACAGCAGGAAAGGTGGCTCGTCTGTTTTTAACAAAAAAAAAAAACCCTAGATATAAATTTAAAGAAAGTGATGTAAAGCAAAATATAAAATAGTAGATATCGTCGCATACTACACGATAACGTACACACTTTCCCAAAATATCTGGTGGCCATTTTTATTTTCTCACCTGGCCACCAGCAGATACAATTTAAAAAAAGAAAGACGATGATATACACACACACACATCTAAAACACTAATTTGGTGAATATAAAGCACTAACGCGAAATGACCGGTAGGTGCTCGCCACCCAACAACATAAACAACATTAATGCAAATCTATTTTCACTGAGCATTGACAACCTTTAAAATACGCGATACTGCAAACGAGTATTTGTTGGTCCGTGGGCATTCTTTGTTGCCATGTGATGGGTATTTTGGTGTTGCGATAATGATGTATTCTCGTGGGCTTACGTTAACCAGTATTTTAACTAACCGAGCAAGTAAATATGGAAAGAAAATCATAGTCGGGTAAAATACCGCGTTAGTGTAGCGAGAGAGGATCGAACCCGTAATCTCCCAGAGGCAAGTGAAGCAAGGCGTGTCACCTCACAACCAACCAGAGTGTGTCCTGGTGTTGTAACACTCAGTTTAAAACATGCACCGATGTAATCAATGACTTAATACGTCGTATAATTATTGGAAGAATACCTATATATAAATGTGTCACTTAGTTCGAAATCGACATTCCGAGTGATTGTGCTAGTCACTTACAATGACTTTAGATCACAAGAAGTGATGGCGTACAGTTTACAAAAAAAAGTATATAGTATACTGGAACGTTAAGACATTTACTGTTAGAATTCGTTTTTACTAAGGTGGTTGTTTTTAAGTAAAAGCCTCAGTGTTTACATAACACATATATTGTGGTACATATCTCGGTCGCCATTGCTATAAACTGACTGGTAAACTGTGTTTGCCAACATTAGCACATAACATTAAAAAAAAAAAAAAAATACGAACATTCAAATTGTACCTCCCCTGCTCAAGTCACACATGTTAAAAATGTATAACATGTAAGTCCTTTATAACTTTCTGACTTGTTTCAAAGAAGGAAAACCAAGAGAACAGATTACTTTATATTTAACTGATTTATGAAATGTTCATACTTTAACTGGCAAATGACCTTTGTCATGATGTCAGCAGTACTATTTTCAGAACTAACATAGTTGATTTTGATTCTCTTCTTATCTACTAAATCTTTTAAATAGTGAAATTTAATGTCTATATGGTGTGAACGCCTACTGTTCTCAAAACCCTCTGCCATATCAATGGCACTTTGATTGTCTGTTAGAAGAACTGGTGTGCTTGTTGCAGACTGGAAATCTTGAACCACTCCCTGGAGATAGACTAAAAATCACATGCTGCTGTAGCACAAGCTATGTATTCTGCTTCTGCTGTTGATAAAGCTACAATTCCTTGTTTTCTTGATCCCCACGAAATTGAATTTTTGCCTTGGAGGAGGACACACCCACTCACACTTTTTCTATCATGCTTGTCCCCTGCCCAATCGGAATCACTGTAGCAGACTAACTTATCATCAGAACTAGGTTTGAAAGTTAGGCGCAAATCTTGGGTTTACTGCAAATATCTGAGAACTCTTTTCCCAGCTTTCCATAACTGTTCAGTAGGTTTGTTCAAAAATCTACTTAGATAGCAGACTGAGTATAATATTTCAGGCCAACTGACAGTTGCTACATACATGAGTGAGCCAATTTGTTGCCAAAACATGAACTTTTCATTGACAGGTTCTTCAGTACCAACTTGGAAATCACATACCATGGGGGTGTTCACTCCTTTGCAAAGAATAATGTTGAATTTAGAAAGAATTTTGTTGATGAAACTAACCTGAGAAATTTTTACTTCATCCCCATCATATACAACCATTGTTCCTAGAAACGCACTCAAAATACCCAGATCTTTGGCTTTAAACTCACCTTTCAGAAATCTTATCAATTTTATACTTGTATTTTTCTCCTGTTATGAGCATATCATCGACCCAAATGATAAGCCTAACATTCTCACCAATGTAGAGGCAAAAGTCACTGGCTGATCTCTTCATACCATGAGTCTCCATGAAGTTGTGAAATCTCTCGTTCCATTTCCTAAGTGCTGAGCACAAACCGTACAGACTTATCTTCAACTTGAGCATACCTGGTTCGTTCTTGACTCCGTCAAGAGTTTTGATGTAAATGTCATCATCCATGTACCCATTCAGGACGGCTGTGGGAATGTCGAGTTGTCGGATTTCCCATTTTCTTGTTACTGCAATAGATATCAGGAGACGAATGGTTGGTAATCTTGCCACTGGTGCATACACATTGTTCGCTGGCTCTTCTTGAACCCCCTTTTTTTTGCGATTAATCTTGCCTTCTTTAGGCCACCCTTCTTTGTCTTGAAAATCCATTTTGGTTCAATTGCCTTTTCTCCTGGAGGTAGTACTCTTGGTGTCCATGTTTGGTGTAGTTCAAGGGCATTTATTTCACTTTCTATTGCTTCTTCCCATTGATTGCCAAGTTTGATAGCACCCTCGTAGGCTTGTGGTTCTCCAGCACATAAGCAGTATGCCATGTACAATTCATATTCTTGTAGATGAGAAGGCATCTTGACGGTTCTATTTGGTTTGTTCCTGTGGTTCTTTTCTCCCAGATCTTCAAAGCCAATGAATTCTTCATCGCTTTCTTCGCTGGACTGTTGTGGTGTACCATGTTTGGTTAAATCTTTTGTTCCATTCTCTTCTGTGTCAGTTTTTGCTTCTGTACTATCTTTTCGGTTTAAGTGTTCATTCTCTTCCTCAATGTTGATACCTTGATATTGTGCCGTATCATTCCCAACTCCTACTTTTGACTCATTAAAAGTGACATCTCTCGAATCGACAATCTTGTCATTCAATGAGTCCCATAGACGACATCCACCACTGAATATCCGACCATTATCATTGATTTCGCATGGGGTTCCAGTTTGCTCTCTCGTGGTAACTTCAGCATATAAGCCTGTGAGCCAAATATCCTTAGTTTGGACAAGTCATTTTCACCAAACTGTACTGAGTCTGGGATCCTGTCTTGCAGGGCACTTGTGGGTGATCTATTTAGCTTGTAGGCAGATGCACGTACTGATTCTCCCCAGAGGGTGTGGGGTCGGTCTGTCTCTGCAAACTTTGTCCTAACCTTGTTCATTAGTGTTAGGTTCATCCTTTCCACTTTAGAGTTATGTTGAGAAGTGTATGGGATGGTGTACCCTTTATCAGCACAGAATTTTTTGAATGAGTTTGAGCTGAATTCGCCACCATTGTCGAGTCTGATTCTTTTGTTTTTTTACTCCATGTTGGGTCTTCACCATCTTGATGAAGTTCATCAAGTTTTGTTTGGCTTCACTTTTAGTTTTTGGCAAATACACAGTAGTGAAGTGAGAAAAGTCATCAAAAATCACTTGGAAATGTCGCTCACCTTCTTTGGTCGCTGTCTTGACAGGTGCACTTACATCTGAATGTAAAAGTTCTCCAATGGACTGAGTGGATTTTTCATTTTTGTTGAAAGGTAATCTCTTGGCTTTACCTTCAAGGCACTGTGGACATTTTTCCTCACTGAATGGTAGATTGAGCACCTGCAGGCCTCGTCTGTTCAGGTGGCCAAGTATTCTATGCCAAAGATAGGTTTCATTTATGGTGATAATTTCCCCAAATTACTGGCACGCAACAGTGTGCTTAGTGTTTTCTGTCACAGGATTTAATTTTAATATGAACAAATTGTAATGTCCTTTTTCACACTCAACAGAAACGTTTTCCCCTTTAATTGTCACCTTTTCTTTACTGAAAACTGCAGTCAGATTTTTTTTTGATTAATTTGCTTACTGATTATACTTCAAGCCTTCGAAACTGATGGTGCCACTGCCATAGTAACCCATGGATTTTCCACCTCTTGTAGCTATCATCTCTCCTCCATTTGCGGTTTTAATAACAACACTGTTTGGTAGCGTTCTTATCGCTAACATGCACTCTTCTAAACTTCCCACAACAAGTTGATTTGTAGCACCCGAATCTAGAATTAAAATGTTGTCTTTACTCATTACCTCACAACTGAAGGCTGTGAATAAAATATTGGCCTGATAGACTCTTGGTCCACATGGGGCTTCATTTCTTTTGAAACATTTTCTCTCAGTCCCTTTTGTTTTTCCTGTCTTTTGTTTATTGTGATAACAGTCTTGCCCTTTTATGGCCCACTTTTCCACATCCATAGCATGTTATTTTGAATGATACTTAATTACTAGAAGGAGTTTCTTGGAATGTTTGACCTTCTCATTTTGTTTCCTCTTCCAGAAGCCTACGCTTAACAAACTCCATGGTTAGATCTTGTTTCATGGTTTCTATATCTGTTATAACTGTGTTGAAGTT